TCTCTGTTTCTCCTTCCTTAGTCTTTCTTAAAGCTTTACCTTTTGGAAATACAGACAGTTTAAAAGCTCAAGACCCCCTTAAACTTTTCTTTTTAACATTGTGCAGGTCTCCAAATACAGTGCTAAATGAAAGCACTGATGTTCATTCTTGTCTCATACTTGATTTTAAATGTTTCACTATTGCATTTGATGTCTGTGGTAGTTTTTGGTAGATTCTATTTGTCAGGATAAAGAAGTTGACTTTCTCCCTAGTTTGCTAATAGTCTCCCTTAGGAATGTATGCTGAATTCTATTAAATGCTTGTTCTGCACCTGTTGAGATGATAATTCAGGCTTTCTTCTATGCTCTAGTAATGTGGGTGAACTGTATTCATATATGTTTAAACCAATCTTGAAATAAAGCCACCTGGTCACAGTGGTATTTTTTTTTTGACATTGCTAGATTTGTTTTTGCTTATATTTATTTGGTATAGGATTTTTGCACCTATGTTCATGAGTATATAATCAATGTACTAAAAGAATGTGAGGTGTCAATAATCTTCCAATCATTGCTACTCACTTGAGTAGACTTAATAGATACAGTAGCTTTGATAAAATGTATGGTGAATTCTGGAAATTCACTAATATCCCCTTGAGATGAGTAAGAATTCAACAGATTGGACTAAAGACAAATACTTAGACTGGATTAAGGGTAAAGGAAAAATTCTTATGGGCTGCTTAACCTAAACCTAAGCAAACTGAAGCACCACTAACATCTAAGGGAGGAAAACAAAAAACACCTGATATCAAATGTGCTGACACATTTTGCAGAGTAGAAAAATCCAGGGAAAAGGCATTGTATTACTAATTTGGGGAAAGTAAACAGGGTCCTGAATTTGAAAGTCAATGGTAAAAGGGAGGGACTGAAGCACTTTCATGAAAATCAGGAATGACATTTTGTGTTGACTTTGACTCCAATGTATCTCTGAGCAATATTAACCACTTTGTACAACATTGATTCAAGAACACCAATCACCCTGTGTTCTAAAAAGCACATATAAAAAATAAGCTTTTAAGGGGAATGTAAGATTTGAGGACAATTTACTTTAGTTCAAAATTATTTCATTATTATAGGGAAATAAAAGCAATTAGAGTAATTGAAAAGCATATTAGGAATTAGTTCTGACTGAGAGATGCTGCTAACCAAAATCTTGCTGGGTTTTTTTTTTTTCATGTTTTCTTCCATTCTCAGAGAAAGCCAACAGGTCAGCATTGACCTAGTATCTGCTTTGGCTCAATATTTGGTTTCTTCATAGGTGCCTTAAAAAACAACAACATATGCATTTTAAATGAGCTTATATAGTAAAACTTTGAGATTTATTTAACTATTAAAAATCCTAATGGTGCTCTAAATGTAGGCTGGGCTACTGTTAATGTCTGGAAAAGGGCTCATTTGTACACATGTATTACCAAACCAGAGTGAAAACTGATAGCAGGTAGTCCACTCCTCAAACTTACCAGATTTTGGATATGTAATTATGAAGACATCATCATCTCTAATTTCAAAATCATCTAGATTTTCTAGAAAGTCAATATCAACTAAAGGAGATTCAAAATTATAGTCTTTAAAGTTCAGCAAATATGTGTCTTTGTTGTCCATACTTATTCACCTACAAGTAAAAACAAATAAAATTCTTTTCAATTTCTTAGTATTTTATAGTATATACTAACACTTACTGAGTGTTCAATATATGCCAAGCACCTTTTAAATGTCATGTGTCTCCACCCATGCCATAGTAAACAGCATCCTATATAATAAAATTCTAATATGGAAATCGACTGAATGGCAGAACGACCAGTCACTATGATGCACACTGACCACCAGAGGGCAGATGCTCAATGCAGGAATTGCCCCCTGGGGGTCAGTGTGCTCCCACAGGGGGAGTGCTGCTCAGCAAGAAGTGGGTTCATGGCTGGCAAAGGCAGCAGCTGTGGTGGGAGCCTCTCCTGCCTCCAGTGCAGGTGGGCGGTACGATGTGAGGGATGCCGGACTGTGAGAGCTCAGGACTGTAAGAGGGATGTCTGACTGCCGTCTTAGGCCTGATACCCCTTGCAGGCAGACATCCCCAACAGGTCCCAGACTGGAAGAGGGCGCAGGCCGGTTTGAGGGCCCTACCTCCCCGCCCCGCAGTGCACGAATCTGTCCACCAGGCCTCTAGTGCATATATAAAAATTTACTCTTGGGGACAGCCAAGATGGTGGCATAGGTAAACACCTGAATTTGATACCATGCACAACCACATTAAAAGTACAACTAAAATATAAAACAAATATCATCCAGAACCATGGGAAGGCTGCCTGAGTAGAAATTCTACAACTAGAAGGAAAGAGAAAAGTGCTTTGAGTCCGGTAGGAGGTGCAGAGATGTGGATGAGCGGAGGTATGGAGGCACATGCGAAAGGGGCTGGCAACTGGGTACACTGTTGTCTTTTTCAATCGGGAGGGAGATACAAGCTCCCCACTGCTCTGAACTCCAGTTCCGGGTGAGAATTTGGGACCCAGCCTCATACGGAGAGAGACTGGATTGTCTGGCATCGGGCCGGAATGTGAGGGCAGCTTTCTTGCAGAGGTGCTTGCAGCGGTCATTGTTCCTGCACGGGGCAGCGGGACACAGACCTTAGGACCTCTCGGAGGCAGAGCAGTGTGCCAAATGGCAGCCATTGCGGTTTGCTCCGCCCTGGTGATTTTCTGAGATGCCGCCCCACCCAATTTACAACCCCACCCAAGCTGTGCACAAAGGCTTTTGCATATGAATGGCCTGGTGTTTCTCTGCCTAAAAACCTGGGCAGACTCAGTGAGCGCCAAAGCCCCACTGAAGCAAGTCCTGCCCCATAAAGGTGTCTCCAGCA